GAGGTTTAATTAGGTTTCAATTAAGTGAAAAAGCTTAAATTACGCTAACCTTAACATTCAGGTGGGTGGCTGCAAAGGAACAAGCAATAGGTTTATTCCATGCTGAAAAGAGAAGAAAGAAAACACGTTTCGGCCGTGGAGCCTTCTTCAGCACACCCTCACACCTGTTATAAACATGTTATTTAGTACTACATTTACTAAAATAAAATAAAGAAATAAATCTGTGCCTTTCTCTGTTATGAAAGCTTTTTCAGCATCTCCAAAAAATTCTGAAACATACTCGTTCAACACCAAACGTCTGACCTTGGAAAACAACACCATATTTTTAACCTGTGCTTCTCCGTTTTTAAAACAGCCTTTCAAACAGAGCAGCACAAAATCTGCTAAATCTCTCAGTTTTTTAAAGGTTAATTTTATGCACTACAGAACGTGGTGGTGTAGGCAGCACTCTCTGCAAACTGCCAATGTCTCAGGCATGTTGGACACAATCAGGAGTTAACAATACCTGTCTACTAGTGTTTTCAACCTGTATAAGGAAAATTTACAAAAGATAAATTTACAAGCTTTATCAGGAACATCTTTTCTCCAGCAGAAGCACCGACATTTTATTGAACAGGCATGCACTCATTATGCTCATTACCATTTGTTATTAGAGTGAAAAGTCACATGTGGTCACCGCTGGAAGCAAAACAAGTAGTACATCTGTGAGGAATGCTTTGTACCAGGATACCGATGCTATCTTGTGGGATTCTGTCTTATTACTCTTGGTCAGCCTGGACAAGTACGTGCCTGTTCTCTGGTCTCTGAGCCCCAGTGGACACATGTTGTTCCCACTCATACACATGCTCAGTGTTTTTCTAGCACTTTTTCATCTTGGTGTTGTCACACGAGTGGAAAGAAGACATGCATTTTCCTGCTAGAATGCTGCCGCATCAGGAGTTTGTCCACAAGAAGAGCAGCAGGTGAGATACCAGGACATGATCAATGTAGTGCTGTGCAGCCAGGCTGCCATCAATCAATACAACTGCAGCCCTGTAGCAACTAGATACTCTTGCCAGACCATCGCCTTCAGACCTTCACATCAGTTGGTCCCCGATAATTAGCGTATCATTCTGCAAGCCTGCACCCCACTCGCTGATATCCATCAGAGAGGTCGACACAAACCTCTGGCTCCACTGCTGTTGAGTCCACCTGACATGTTGCTCCAACATACCAATGACAAGAAGGCATTGCTCTCTTGATAAGTGGGGCATATAGATTCCTTTCTGCATCTGTCTTTCTTGATTTTGACCAAGCTTGACATTCAGCTGGCTAAATCAACGCATCACCCATGCAGTTATTCCCACTGCGACAAAAACAGACACGTGCAATGTAGGGATAAATTCAAAACCAGCAGCTTTTGATCACAGACAAAGCTCAACAAGCATCTCCAAAAATTGTAGCATTTTTATATATAGCAGTGCAAAATAAATTAGAGCCATAACTAAACCAGCTCCAAAGATAAAAACTTTTTTTGTGTTCAGAAAATTCAGTTTTGTCCAGGTTTGGTACATTTTCTGCAAAGTCAGCACCCTATAAAGTTTCACATCACAAGAGGCAGGAATTCCACTGGCACACCGACGATCCAGCCAGCATGAGTATTAAAAAGAACAATGTTTTGTCACGTACTTAGAGAAGGGTCTCAAGAGACAGACGAGGGTTTTGGCATGCATGCGGAGGTAATTGAAGAATCTGTGCCTGACAGCGTCCCTGAAACAGAAAAATTTCCCAGCAGCTGGGCTATGCAGTGCCCCACTGTTCACAAGAAACAGGTCTCTGACTCGGGCTTCAGGGGCCAGCTGTTGAAAAGCTCAGAAGAAGGATTTTAGATTATGTGAAATTATGCCACTGAAGGTTCTGATGGGTTTGCATTCTTCTAATTACAAAGACCTTTTCAAACTAATTTGGGCTCAAGTCTGCATCCCTCAAATAGTTATTACCCCCCCAAAAAGGGGATAAACAGAAACTCCATGCAAAGCCCATGTGGAAAAGACTTGGAATCAGGGATGTGATTAAACTTTGTTTTGTTGTTTGGTGGATTTATTCAGAATTATTCAGGGAACTGACTCACACTGCTGCCTCCAATGGCCTGGACGTGCTCAAGAAGTGAGCAGGAGCACTTTTCACGTCTTCCACACCTGCTTCGCTGCACTGCGAGATGTGAGAAAACACTACTGAGCACTTAGGAAAGAGGGAAAATGTTACAACCCCCGGGAGGATATTACCTACGATATCGCAGTTTCTAATATGGTAAACCGAGCTGCCTGATCAAGATAAAAGGAAAAGAAATGACAGTGTTGAATTATTTATTAGGACAGGATGCAGACAATGTTTTCGTGCAAATGAATGTCTCGTTCCATGACAGCATGTGAGTGTTGTTACAAAAACATTTTTGCCCTCTGCTTCAGCAAAGGGGAGAAATAAAGACCTACTGAGAGTCACTGTAACACAGTGCAAACTCAGTGGTGCTTTTAAAGAGTTGTGTTTCTTTAATCTCTTTCCAAATCAGTTTCAAACTGTCCTGACAGCAAACTGCTCGAATTACCACAACTTATTTTTTTTTCTTTTAAACGTAATAAAATAAAACACAAAGTTAAAAGAACCCCTTCCCTCTACTGTATCCCCCTTAAAAGCGTTTAACACTGTTAAATGCTTATTTTGCATTTAACAGTGTTTTTTGGGTCAACAATACATTTGCTTTGCAAATCTCAACACTTCACAGCTCAGTTGCTTAATATCACTAAAGCTTGTCAAACTGGGGTTTAAAAACGACAGGTTTATGAGTTCATTTCAACACGGCAATTAAGGTCAAAAGGTGCCCGAAAGGCCTTGTGAACTTCAGCATTCCAGCTGCTGCCTGCGAGCTGGAGTGACGGTCAGATCCAGGCCTTGCAGAGTGAAGCTTAGGCTGTGCTTTATTCTTTCTGAGCCCGACAGGATTTATAAAAGCAAAGATTCACAGGCAGAGGTAGCAAGGACCTCAGGGTACCTGCAGATGTTCATAATACAATATATTGGATGCACAATTATTAGGTACATACAAGGCAGACGTCCAGAGACTGGTGTTTAAAAGCTTTTCCGTATCCCAGGTCCTGGAACCAACTCTGGGCCTTAACTATTTTTAAACAGATTTGCAAATGTTGCCTTTATGGTGTGTAGGGAAATAGGCTTTGCAAATTATATTTAGATTAAATGTGACAACCTACATGATGTGATATACCTCTATATCACACCATGTTATGAGGAAGCTACAATGTACAATCCTGAATCTCCTCTAATGAATAAGATACAATGATCTGATGTGAAAAACTGCATGTGTGTGAAATTAGTTTTACAGTGGACTCTTGGTGCAACTGCATTCTCTTTACTGCAACACTGCTTGAAAACTGGGGCTGGAAAAGCACAATCATTCACACACACACACATATATATAGGGGAAAAATCAAACTTTATGATTTGCAAATCCCTATTTATTCACTGTTCCAGGAGTAAATACACTTGCCATGAAGACAATTCTGCAAATACAGCAGTAGAGCAGGGGTGTCCAACCCTGGTCTGGAAGAGCCCCTGTCTAACAAATGGAGATGTCAGCACTGAAGCAACAGTTCCAGATCAGGGACAAATTCCCTGTGACTAATTCAGGAGAGGATGTGAAATTACATCAATCCGAGATAATCTGGGATCCAAATTTGAGCATCCTTCAGATCCCAAAATAGAGTCCTGGTAACCAAACAGACCACTTGCCTAGTGAATCTATTAATGTACAGGAGCTGCTAGTCTTTGAAAACAGGAGTCCTGTATTAATGGACTAGGGATCGCCTGGACCAGGGTGCACTAGAGTCCAGGAGTGTTCAATGCTCAGAACTCTTCGATGGGGTATTTCAGACTAGGGGAGTCACACTCCCACCTCCACTGCACCTCTTTCAAGTCTTTCTGCAGCCAGTCATTATCAAAGCGATTTTCTGCACCTCGTTAAACATTTAAGGACTCATCCAGGAGTCAGTTCATTGGTATGGACCTTAATCGGATGCAGACGTCCTACTGTATAACAGCAGTGAGTAGAAGTGTAAAACAGGGTCAGCATCAGTTAAAACCGCTCTGCTGGAGACGAACCTGAGTCGAATACGAGTGAATGATAATTGCAACGTGCCAAACATATTTAAATATTCAAAACTCAACTTGCAAATAAAATCGCCTCAACTGAAAAACCGTACAGTTCCCTTGCTTCAATTCTGCCAAAACGAAAACCAACATAACTACGTATACAGAGCACACAAAAGTAATGACAGCAATAATCAATAACCCATGAAATGACTTTCATCCCTAAATGCTTCAGTGGGAATGGGCAAAAACACTCCCATCTCATTCAACTGACAGAACGGAGGAGAGAAAGAAACGGGTCTCCAGCTGTCTTACTACTTGCGAGTTGTCCACTGGGGCCGCTGCCCAGCGTGTTCAGTCCGATGCGTTTTGGAAATCGCCACCAGCCCTCCGGTGCGCAGCGACAAAGCGAGAGAGGGAGCGTAGTGTGCCCGGCTGCCCGGGGCTGACGGCACGCAGAAGACTCGCACAGCCCGAACCCCTCGTACTCAGCAATGTTCAAATCCCACACCGGGACACTCGGGAATAAGACTTGGGAGACTGACGCCCGGTGATATCACGGCACTTCCGCCCGAGCCGTAACTGTTCAATGAAAACTTCTTCAACAGTAACGCACTATTAGATAACTAAGGACACGCTTCAGGCGTTCAGTGTTACAAAAAAAAGTGGGCTGGAAAGTTTTGCAGTAAGTTAATGTAATAAAAATAATGAAACTTTTTGTTCCGTCCTTAGTTGAGAAATACACCTAGGGATAATAGTTAAGATCCAGAATTTAGGAAGCTTCACAAGAATAGCTGGATTGCCTTCAGCTCACTGTCCAATCACAGATATTTAATTATTTTTTTTTTATGATTTCCTACCTGTACCACATCCCAAATGGCGCAGTCGAACAGGAAACTCCCTGGCTCTGCCGGGCCTGGGCTGGGAAGCCAGCCTCTGTAGGTCCGGGCGACAGGGGAAACAGCCAGTGCAAACCGAAAAAGGACTTAAAACCAAACTGTCGACAACAGCCGACCTGTCGGTATCGCACTGGACTCGACCGCACGCTGATATCTGGTGCGTCTGACTGGAAACGTTTGCGCAGGCTGGGCAGTGCTGGACTAGAGCAATGCATGCCGTAACCTGCTGCCACAACCCGAGGACGTATATGTCGCTAAAATCCACAATCAACAGCAAGACAGCAGGAGAACAACAGAGCCAGTAAAAATTAAGGTATCCAACGCGGAGAGAAAATGTTGCTCCCCTTTTTTAATAATAATGGACCTTACACTAGGGATGTCCCTACACTAACGTACGGCACTGCTGTACGGTCGTGCCGTGAAGACTTGCAGACCCACGAACACAGGGAGAAAAGATATTAAGCCTCACACTATCACCACCTTACACGAGTAGGTTTTTCCTGTTATAGCGAAACCAGTAGAAACCCAACGGACTAGCCCATCTTGGTGGGAGAGAAAAAATCAACCAGAGCTATGCAACTTTACTCTGTACCTCACGCTGGACCGCAGAAGGAGTGGAAATACCCCCCCCTCACTTTCCGGACTGCTCCCCACAAATGCACCTGTGAGCAGTCGAGTTAATGACAAGAAGAAGAAACTCACCTTGGTTAAAAGGATATCATTCCCACGGTTGTACCCGTTGTAAAATCTATAAAGCAGCTGAGCGTCCAGGACACAGACTAACCCGGATAGAAACCGAGGCGATGGGTTTTCGCCGGGAATAGTAGGGGGCAGCACTGCAAGGGAAAAGCGCTACAGTGTGCCGTCTGGGCGCTAGGGGGAGACAGGTTGTGCACACGTCTTTAATCGCTCCACACATTCAAATACTACCAACTTTTACACGTTTTATCTAAATAGCTATCGTTCTTCTGATCCGATACTTCTCAATCCACACAGTTAGACGTCTGTTCAATTACGGAAATTGTAGTAGATAGAAGCTTGCTGGCGATTTAGACGAGACAGATTAACCACTTACAAAACCATCAAGGTGAGGAGGAGATGCGCTTCTGTGGTGGATGCGATACACTTGGGATGATGCTACTGGAATGAAGGACAGTAGCAATTAGTGCTTCTACACGTTCACTAAATACTGCTACTACGAAAGTCCAATGCATTGCACCTCGCGACAATACATATTTTACTCTTATTGTCTTTATAATACAAAATGTGATGATATGTTAAAACCCTTCAATACTTTTGAAAATCTGAAATACAATTGAAAACATATATATTTTTTAAATTCTGATAAGCCGTAGGAAAAAAGATATCGTCACACTTCATGTCAGTCATGCAATTACTTTAGCTTACAGATATAAATGTCATGTGAAGTATTAAACGTATGTATGTGATGCTATGGTGACTTGCTGAATCATCGTAGAATCGACACCAGTCAGTGTCAAAGAGACCGTCACCCCAGTCAAAATCTGTAATAATAATAATTGCTTACAGTTATATAGAGCTTTTCATGGGCACTCCACTCAAAGCGCTTTACAGGTAATGGGGACTCCCCTCCACCACCACCAATGTGCAGCATCCACAGTGCGCCAGAACGCTCACCACACATCAGCTATCAGTGGGGAGGAGAGCAGGGTAATGAAGCCAATTCATAGATGGGGATAATTAGGAGGTCATGGTAAGGGCCAATGGGAAATTTGGCCAAGACACCAGGGTTACACCCCTACTCTTTTCAAGAAACGCCCCGGGATTTTTAATGATCACAGAGAGTCAGGACCTCGGTTTTACGTCTCATCTGAAGGACGGCACCTGTTTACAGTATTGTGTCCCAATCACTATATATTAGGACCCACATGGACTGTAGGGTGAGCACCCCCTGCTGGCCCCACTAACACCTCTTCCAGCAGCAACCTTAGTTTTTCCCATGAGGTCTCTCATCCAGGTACTGACCAGGCTCACACCTGCTTAGTTTCAGTGGGCTGCTAGTTGTGAGTTGCAGGGTGATATGGCTGCTGGCTAAATCTAATTGAATAAACTGTGAAAATGTAAATTCTTCTATCTGTGCAAAATACCAGTTTCTGCAATTACATTTTTAGAAATATTATATATATGCTGGATATGTCGTTAAATTTATTGTGTATTTGCATTTTTTTCCTTTATGTTTATTCTGTTACATAGTGTATGCTAGTACCTAAATTATTAGTTTTTAAATTTCTTTACTGTATGTCTAGTAATATGCATTGTGCTTCCAAAAAGTTTTAGTAATGTATCTATACATACTGAAAAATTTAGAAATTTGGCTCCTAATTTAATATGAATTAAGTCACAAGTAATATTAAGTGCATTCTGTAGGATTTGTAAGTGAGTTGGTACCCTGACAAAAGATTCTGTCATTATCTGCATGACCCGTTTCATTAGCAAAGCAAGCACAACATCGAGGCAGAGCTGATCTATTCAAACTACTTTAAATATATCTTTTTTTTAGAATAGTCACTTATTGTGTTATAACAGCACTCATGAAATTCCAATCGCGGACGTGACCCAGGCTGGATCCCACAATCACAGGGCTCAGATAGCACTCAGGGGTCCCAATAAGGTTTTAAATCTAGTAAAGTATGATTTTCAGCTGAAGAGTTTCCATTTTGGGTAAATAAGCCTCATCTCTTTAAGACATCAGTAGTTGTAGCCTGTCTGTAGTTTTGAAGCACCAATGCCATCAAGTTCAGCAGCAATTTCCTCTGAGCAGCAGAGCGATATGCCAGCACTTTGAAGGGCCATCAGCACTAGTGTGGAATGCAAACCGAGAACATTCCTGTCAGGAGGGGGGCTCATACAATATAAATGTTGCATGGTAATTACATTTCAAGGTGATGTGATAGAGGAAAAGTATTTGTTTTATATGTCATTTATATACATAATCTTCTTCAGTTAGTTATAAACTGCCCCAGTTGTTTCCAGCAACATTATTAAATTGTGATGAATAGACCGGCCTTTCATTGACCTTGGCTGAAAACAGCTCTTATCTAGAAGGAGTCCATCTCTCCAATAAAACTGATAGCCAAAGAATTACAAAGAAAAGGGCTGGGTGACAGACTACTCGCTTAGCAAACTGACAGAGTGAATAAAGCATGCAGGTCTTTCAATCTGTCCAATACGGTTCCTGCTTTATAGGAAACATTTTACCTTTTTCAGGCAGTTTTTGATAGATGAGGCTGCCTGTGATGGGTCATATTTTACACAGGCCTCAGACTTAACTGGATCTTCTATTTTGATAACGTACTGTAAGTACTCAAAGTTCTCCAGTAGTTTTTTTTTTTAATAACAGTGTCTGTTTGGATTATAGTATCTGTGTTTGCTAGGAGTGCAGTGATATAAAACAGAGAAAGGCTTAATTTGTGTGCCATGTAATTAATTAAAATTGCAAGCCACTCTAAAACTAATTTATTATCACTTTCCCAGCAGCAGTTGCTTATACATGTCTCAGAAATTACATTTGTGTATTATACAAATTATAAACAATGATATAGAGTATACTTACAAGATAGTTTTGATATTGTCCATGCTTTATACTTCACCACTTCATAATCCGATTTTACCATAGCAGAACTAAGTATATTGTTATATTCATTGAAGCACACAATCTGTCAGGAAACGAATAAGAACACACCAGCTAGAAAAGACCACAAAGCGTAAATTAGTCATGTGCATTAAATTCAAGCCAAGTATTCAACCAAAAAGAGATTTTGTGGTTTCCCATTAATGAACGATCACGACTATGAAAACCAAACAGGAATACAAACAAATCGCATAAAATGATTGGAGCCTTTTGGTGTCGTGAGAAATGAACGACTCTTCAATGAGAGCAAAGCTGTAGACCGCAAGACAAAAAGTAGAATCATGAAAGAAAACCATCCACACAAGGCCTTGCACGTGACTGATTTAGCACAAAAACCTCAAAGACTGAGAACTGAAGTGGCTCAAGGATGCCAAGTATCTCGTAGCTGCTGGAAAGTTTCCCAGTTACCAGTAGTTTGAGAGATAAGGAAAGAGAAGCCAGGGAAGAAGGTTTGATTTCATGCTGAAATAGAGTCACAGCTGCTGAGTGTATCAGGGGAAGAAGTCTGGACTGCTGAGAACGAGACACAGTAATAAGCCGCTGTGTCAGACTTTAACGTTTTTAGCCTTGTGAAGATTGAAAAAGTAGATAAAACCCACAGGGCCCTCCGCGGAACAGTGCACAGCACTAGGAATGAAGATTTTTATGAAGTTACTCCAAATGACTTTTTTGCACCAATAACGATGCTAAACATAATTCAGTCAGAATTGCCAAGATGGATGTCTTCTGGGAAATCTTCATTTAACCTTTGTAAGACGAAATCCTAAATCAATGCCAGGATTTTTCTAAGGAGAGACTCAACTCATGAGCTGGGCAGCAAGAAACATCTCTTGGACTTTTGAAAGTTTCTTAAACTTGCCTCACAAGAAACACACTCTGTTAATTGAAGCATGACAAACTTGCATGTTATTTGCAGTCTGCCCTCTATCTTATTCTTTTCTGTCTCCTTGTTTCTTCCCGCTTGTTGTTCAGCACCTCTTTGTTAAATATCCAGTCTCTGTTGACACTGAGCACCTTGCAGATCTGCTGTTTTTCTCCTGCACTTCTGCTAATGCATGAAATACACCATGATGTTGTTTCTGTTTTTGTGCAACTGAAGTGTGGGGCACTTTGGTTGCTTTGTGTGAAGGATAATAATTTTATTTCACCTTTACAATGTAAAATTCTTCTCCTTTCTTTTATTAATATTCGTAACACAAATTATTATCATATTAAAATGAATAATACAAATAAAATAAGCTTGACTGTTTCTGATGCAACATCTTAAAGAATTCAATAAAATGTTATTCTGATCCACTTGACTTCTAGAGCTGGTGTTGGAGTGTCGTGCTGTTTCTGTTGATGGTTTTGGTTGCTGGTGAGAGTTGGTGCCGACTTTGCTGTCCTGACACTTACAGGAATCTGGCCCCACTGCCTAGGACAGAGGAGGTGAATGAGCAGACACAGGAGTACCAGCAGAATGAAAGGCAGGTAGGGCCACTTTGTCAGCAGAAAAAAATACCATATGGAGGCAGTTGAGAGTAGTGGAGAGAGCAGGGCACATGTCACGTTCGTTAACCCCTCCTCTTAAGGATGCTCCAGCCCTTCCTTGTTCTCTACACCTGCTCCCTGTTCCAACCCTCTTTTCAGTTCTCCTTAAAAGCCAGGCGCTCACTCTATTCTGGGCTCTGCATTGGTTTCCATACCAGGCGAGTCCAGGACCTGGAAGCACCTGGTCCCGTCAAGTTTTTAGTTCCTGTTCCTGTTCCTGTTCCTGATCCCGTTCCCGTGCCGGTCCCGACC